TAATCAAACTCGGCCCTAGCGATTTTGAGCTTATCTGATGCTAGTCTCCTGGGTTTTGCAAAAACCGGTGCACCTTCGGTTTTGATAGTGTGACTTACTTTTAGTTTGTCTTTGGAAGGCTGTGGGTTTGGTTTAGTTAAGTTTGGAAATTCCGCGAGTATATCTTGGAATTTCGCTGTTGTTACTGGAGGAGTTTGAATCAAGTTAAGAGAGCTGATGTGATTTTCTTTGCCTTTTGTGTAATACGAAGTTTCTTTTAGTGTTAATCGCCGTTTCTTGGTGTCAACTAGAAGTTCGTATCTCTCTAGAAAGTCCATCCCCAGTATTGCCAGATCTAAGTCGGCTACCGTGAAAACCCAAGGGAATTGCCTCCTGAACCCCAAATCTAGGGTTGAAGTTTTCTGCGCAAATGTCGCTATTCTGGTTTCATTTGCAGCTTGAAGTGTAATTGTGGACGTTTCTCCGACTAGCTCAGTTTCATTTTGAGGGATGATGCTAAGAGCAGCGCCAGTATCCACCAAGAAATCCAAGCCAGAGTTTCTGTCTCTAACATAAAACAGGCGACTGTTTAGGCGCCCCTCCTCAGTAGTCGCGACCTGGGGAGGGGTTACTCGTTTCCCGCTGTCTTCGAATTATGCTTAATCCAGGAGCATGGTTGCATGCACTTGGTTGAGTTGACACCAAACTTCCAGTGGTACCAACAAAACTGCTCAGATTGTCTGGACATTTGTCACTTGCATCGTGGTCGTTGTGGTGACCTGCTCCAGTTTCTATGACCAATCTGCATTCTGGTGACAGCCTCAGTGAGACTCTTAACACTCGCAATGAGTCCTTCTATGACGGGGTCTTTTGCTGATTCTACTTTTTGTGTGTGATTTATTGTGCCTTATCCAGTTGAAGGACCTCTTTCCATTATTCTATCGGTTATACGCGCTAAATGAGATAATGAGGTTTCAGGATCTTGTGCATCCAAACAGTGTTGGATGTAGCATGGAAGAGCTTGTATCCATCCTTGTTTTAGGACTGCTTCACCCACTGTGTTATCACCCACTAAGACTTGGAGGTGTCGTAAAAACTGTGACGGCGACCGATCACCTAGTGTTTCACCTTGAAAAAGTCTTTGGATTATTTGACTGTCTGATAATGATAAACGGTTCATTATCTCTCGTCTTAAGATGGTGTATGGTTGTGGTGATGGTGGATCTAAAATCAAGTCACGGACTTCTTTGGCGACTGAAGGAGGAAGGATAGAACACAAGTCTCTATAGCGAATCCCTTCAGATTTGATATTGTGTCTCGTGAAATAATGCTCTAGTTGAGCAAACCACAACTCAGGATCACCACGATCAAATTCTGGAAGTCGGGATTTCGCAGTCATAACAGTGTCTATCTCCACTGGTGACAAATCTTCCAGATTATGGGTTTCTATTGAGTCTGACCTGAGGTATGTGACAAATATAGCAATGAAGTTAGCACGAAAAATGGTTACTATAACACGAATAACTTAAGATAATAAAAAATGAACTATTTATATACCCAACTTAGTTTACGGATAATCAGGTCTACTTTTACGATTAAATAAAAAAATGTTAATAACAGAAATGAAGTAAAATTTGTGTTCAAAAAGAGCTCCCCAGTTTCGTGCCTTAAAGTAACCCTCGTGTATTGATAGAAGAAACCAGACAAGTAGTGAATAGGTCTTTATTTCGATCTTCGCACAGTCACAGTGGAGCGTCGGATCATCTGTTCAGACAAACAAAGGCTCTCAGCATTCAATATAAGATAATAGGGAATATAACGCTTATACAAAATAAGGAAGTGAATGAATACTTGAACAATACTGTTTTGGCATATGCTTAGTTGTTTGAGGTCCACTCTTAACCAACCAACCTAAGCTGTTACAGTTCTACTCTTTTTGAAAACCAAAGTCTCATTGTTCCGTTCCTTTACTATATCTATACTACATGGCCCATGTAATATCGTGGAACATACATATCTCACCAAGAAAATAACCTAACGCAGAAAATCCATAAATTGTAGATAAAAAATTGTCTGTGGTTATTCACTACGTTTCGCCGTTCAAGTAAAGTGTTGCATACAGAATTTTCGGCTGTTTACTCTTCGTTAAATGGATTAGTACTGCATAATGGAGTATGGTTTCTACCAAAGACTTTATTTCTTGCATCTGGGGTTATATTCAATGATCTGGTAATAATATGTTGGTGTAGCTCAGATCAAAATACAAAATAAGAGATAGAACTGTGATGATTAGAAGTATTTGAATCACCGTACTAACTAGGAAGTCACAAAACAGTGCAATTCACAGCAAATAGAACTAAATGAGAACAAATGAAAGTATCATATGTAAAAAATTGGAATAAAGCTGATGATCAAGTTTAAGAGAATCATTAGAGTGCGCAAATACCACATTAACACAATAAATTTAATATTTGTAAAGGAATCTGAACCAGAACCCACTCCAATTTCAGTACTAGTCATCAGATGGAGTAGGTCACTACCTTTTTATGTCAATTAAATTAGCAGTTTTTATTATTTCTTTGCGATTGTCTTCCTACCACAAATTTTACTTTAGAATTATCGTGATGGAATTGAAGCTAAAGTATGACCTTGACAAGTGCTAACTCACCTTGAGAAATAAATGGAGTTCCCGCTTAATTTCTAAAGGCGCTATCTTAGAACTGGCACACTATGCGTGTTAGTTTACGGGTTTTCGCGCACATGTAACATTTTGTCGTGGATTTTATGTTTCGTTATTTATCAGCTATTAACAGCCTTTTTTCCATCATACGTGACTTCTCGTAATCTTTGTGATTGGAAGATAGTTTTGATTTCAATTTATAAGTAGTTTGACGTAATTCGTGCTCACCACCTAGGTAAATATGTAGTTGGCGTAATATGGTTATTTTTAACAATACAAAGTCAAACATGTCAAATCACCATTTTTCTAGTCAAAAATAGATTACAGATTGAGTTTTCATGAAAATAAGCCGTGAAAAGCATCATATATGGTTCACCTCCTTGATTATGCTGACGGCAAACATAGATGTATGTAGTCGTTTATAAAATGTAATCAGAAAGAAGCAAGCGTTAGACTAACTATGAATGTTATATAAATTTTTGTATTTAGCCATAAAAGGTTATTTGGACTATAGGTAGCATTGTTTTGTACTGAAGTGACATATTATTGTGTAACGTATCAGAGAAAAATTATGTGAGTAACAATTGACGTTGATAGTCTTTTTTACCGGCTTTCTGAACGTATACAGGAACAGTGTATAACACCACATTAAATAGGCACAAAATCTTCATAAGTAAAACGATGGGTGTCTCTTCTGAGCATGGTGACAAAACCATGTCGTACTTAATACTGAATTATGATGTGTATGTTATAGGGTTGACGAATAATTTTCTGTAAACGAAATGCACAATCGCAGACGAAAATGTGAACAAAGTTATGATGCATATTGTCGAGTAATATCTAAATGGTGCTTACCAATTTCTCTTGCTAATAGCAGATGTATAGACGAAATACTACAAGGGTTAGACACTGAATAAATTCCCAGTGCTTGTTACGACACAGATTTGAATAAAAAAACAACTATTAGTGAGTTAATTCATGAATTCCTACCGCATTACAGACTGACTCGTCCGAAGTAATTCATGCAGACAACGGGACGAAAAGTGAATGAGCAATGGAAGCAGAATCACAAGTTCCTTGTATTCATATCTCGTTTATGCCACATTAATGAATAACATTTTCTTCATAATTCAGACCACGCTTCTTTGTTGTGACGAAACTGACTTCAGCAATTTTTAAATAACATTGATTTGTGTGTTGTAAAGATTACCTATTAATTTTTATTAAAGGAAATAGAAATCTCTAATGATTAGCGCTGTCTGCAAATAAGAGACTTATAGGTACATTCTGTAACCTGCTATTTGATGTACTTATTGAATGTGATACTTATAACTAGGTCTAATTCTTTATTTCACAACTGATTTGTTTGTTTTTCAGAATTGTATGAATCCAATAAAGTCGTCAAAGGTTTGTGATGTTTACGCCGGTCTACAACTTACAGAATTTGTTAAAAAACGGTTTACATGTTCATGTTAACTGTGTTCCGTATTGCCTAGTAACATTTTTATTCAACTAATGAATTAGTGAAATATAAATATAGCAACTACACTTATTGTCTTACTTTATAAACCGTGTCCGTCTTTATTAATAGTCGATATGACGCTAGAACAAATATAGATATAGAATAATATGAACTCCTTATAATCCATGGAGTGAACAAGTAATAAGATGGATTATGTATTAATTCATTTCACTTTTAAAATTTAGTTGCCGATTTATTCCAGCACCCTGTCACTTACATCTGCTCACTTAATCCTCTGTAATTATGTGACCTCTTCAAATTGTAATAAGTTATTACGTGACCCAAGTTTTCAGTTCTTAAATCCACGGATCACTTATAGGCCATAAGATTTTCACACCACTTATCTGTCTGTGAACTCCAGTCCACTATTACACCACCCATTCTTAATGTTATTGACTGTAAAAACAAATGACCTTTGACCTTAAACTGCATATATATATATATATATATATCTAGTCATTATTGATAACCCACGTCATTTCAATTATTCATATTAAGGTATGTCAACTGTTTCCCACATCACTGTTAAATCCTAATGCATATTTAGTTATAACGAATGCATACCACTGTTAATCAACATTTATCCTGGTTTCATTTTAATTCATAAGCGGAACTAATCACATGGAATTAAAATCTTAGCTACTGATACGATTTTAATTATAAACGTAATCCGACGAAGGTGAATATGATATGTGGGTGCCTAATCTGCAAGATTGTACGTGGATGTAGGGTTTCTGAATCATTCTTAATTATTACAAACAGTTACACACGAACGTCATTGCTATTTATTCCCATGAAACTAGGAATAAGATGAAAATTAAAATTATGACAGTTTATTGAATAATCATTGCTGCTAAAGCAGAAAATCAAGTTTACAAGTTGGTATTAAGAATTCTTAAGTAATAATTGTCCACCTTCTTCTCAACTTCCGTTGCGAAACGTTCACCATACTTCTCAATGATGCGTTGCTTATGGATTCTTTGACTTCGATGAATACTTATATACACTTCACTCCGTCGTGTTAATGCAGTTAATGTATAATTTTGGAAGTTCTGGGTATTATGTAACTTCCATCTGCTACAATACCTAAGAAGTTGATGAGCTATGCAGTTAGTATTTCATAATTGATATAGCTTACCTGTAAGATTTCGTCTTTTAACGTAGGCAAGTAGCATGTGACGGCAGGGATATCGGCACATCATAAACGTGCTACAATTGCATTGACAAATGCTTATATCAACTTCATAATGTTGTCCGCGATCAACCATAAACAACCAATCACCGCTTTCATATTCCACGTAGACAAAACGCATTTGTTTAAGTTCGTATAACAATTTAGATCTAGCGAATGGGGTCAAAATGTTTAGCAGGGGTGTAAGACGCTGTGGAGCATTATATTTATAAGATCTTGCGGCTATCACTTGATCTTCGATAACTTCATCTGCTGACTCACAGTGAGGTATTACGGGCTTCAAGTTCTCTTTTTCTTCTGACGATAATCTCCTTGTCAATGAATCACATACCATCCATGAACTACTACATGGATGATTGTGGAGCATGTTGTAGGATTTGATGACATATCCTTGCTCCTCTAGTCTTACACGAAATTTAGATCGACAATTACGGAATTTAGACCTTAAACATAAGATATTAGTTAAAGATCTTACGATTTTTGCCTCACTTTCAAACCTTCCGATTTCCTCTTATGAGCAAACGTACAATTAAACGATACAAACAGGTTTTTGAACCTGACATCCTTCAGCAATCTGCTTTCTGTGTGGATGTAACGAGTATAAGTAGTCTGAGAAGCGATAAAATTATAATTCCATACTTTTTGGAACTCTTTTAAGGCGCTTTCAAAATCATCCCACAAGACGAAACGCTTGTTCAGTATCATACTTCGAAAGGCATCAGTTAGGTCGACTGAAATGTCACTTGAGCATGAAGCACTAAAAACAGAAATGACTAATTATTAAAAGGTTATTCCTTGCGACAATAATAACCCAAGAAAATACTACAAATACTTAGGATTTACCTGTGACTTGACATTTCGTTGAGCTTTACTACAGTTGTTGGGATCAAAGATCAAATTACAAAGCAACAACAGAGCCAACGTGTACACTACAAAACAGAGAACGCTAAATTAATGGTTTTGGTATTTATTTCGTGCTTTTTTATGTAGCATAACATGACTTATATATGAAAAAACCTGGTACTCATGCAATCCAACCAACCCACGGCAATTGAAATACGGAATGACCGCCTCTAGTCAAGCCGTTCAAGGTCGTTGAAACGAAAGGGCGGGCACATTTCAAAAGGACCTAACGTTTAAACCTTGCCCTTAGAACTGGTTGGCTCATGTACTTACTTGAGTTTCACCATTATTTCATTTTTGTGTAATTACCTAATATTGTAGTGCGGATGTAGTTTATAGCGATTAATTAACATGGTTGTCGAAAGAATTAGGTTCTTATTTCTACTGGGCGCTGTAATTTTCATGTAGTTCCTTATTGTTTGTGAATGGGAAATATACCGTATAATAGATGATGACCCGTGTCCTGTTGGTTATGTTCACTTTTTTCCAACGTTTTCCTTTGAAGACGAGCGTTAGACAGTAAACCAGCTTTTTTCTGGCCTTCATTTTTTTCGCTCAATGTCTGAAGAAACCGTAGTAACCCTATGACGATTGCTTCAAAATAATTTAAAATATAGTGTAGTCAAGTTTCCTAATAATCACTTCAAACATTCGTCCACTCATCATTTTGTATGGATTTTTGTTCAAGCATAACCCTGTTTTAGTGTTTTTTTGCTTGTTTTAGATGGTAGCTTGTATTGTTGCGGGGTTCTATATATTTTCATGTTAGGCATGTGTTGTGGTCTGCCTCTCTTCATCATTACTCGGAAGATGACGCAGTATGGGTTATGTTCGGCTTCCGAACCTAGTAGTTTCTGGTCACTTACTGTCTATACAGATGCATTAGTGTATATAAATATCACTGAACCATAACATACTGAGTGTACCGTCATATATATGCAAATATTCTGGATTTCCTCAAGTATTAAGCTCATGGTAACATTTTTATTAACAGGGGATTCGAACCATTTAGACGTATCTACTCATGTAATCGTACCAACTATCATAAATCTCGCTTAATTCTGTCTTCACAACTCGAGTTTGTAATTTGTTTCCACGATTCCTGTTTCTGCTATGGCGTTTTTCGTCGTTAATGAACCTGACACATTGTCATAAGTGATATCTATGTTTTCCCAATCAGCTTTAATAAGTATACTAGCATTTCACTGAGTATATCACAGCTAGATTTGAAAGTGAACGTTTTGTCTTAATAATAGTAACTTCGCCAAACATTTATCATTTTTGCTTATCCTGTTCCTGGAATAAACTAAAGATAAGTGCTTCAGACTACTAAAAACCACGTACTAGTTTCTTATCTGCTACTCGCAATCTTGGACTATTATAGTTACAGCTACTTTACTCTATCGCTCTCGATTCCTACGGGTACTATTTTTCGTTTCTAGTCATACTTTTGCACTATATTTGAGCTATTGACTGGTTGATTTAGATACTTAATTCATACAACCTGTATATAACTTCTTTATCTTTCGAGAGGCTGGAGCTATCACTAAAGTAGGATTCGCACGATGAGACTCAGATTCAACCTAAGATTTGCCGCGTATGTAAATTTGTTCAAGCTCACCACAGCACATAGAGATACGATAGAAGCTTAAGTAGTAAGACAGTTAAGCAAGTCATGGTCTCAAGAAATACCAAAATTGAAGGGACCTAGGCTATTGCGAATGGCTCTGAACGATGTCATGCAACACCAACCATTGGTTACGAAGATCGTTCGGGTACTAACCAGGTTATCTACATCTACTTACACGTTTCAGTGTAACTTCATGAACTTACCACGTTTTCGTTTGTCCTCTCCCATGTTTCTTCAAACTTATTCTTACACCAACCATCCTTTCATGTTGAAGTATGCAATGGTTCCATCAACCTCAGTCGATGAAGATTAACCATTTAATCAATCGATTTAACATTCTTACCTAGTAGCCTGTGTCTGATACCAACATTGCTCATTCAATAATCTTTAAGTATACGAACAGTGCTTTGAGAAAACCTATGATTGGTTACTGGCAATCCACAAATGTTCTCTCCATTTGAAAACCAAACTTCATATATCTAGTTAGAATAGAGTTAACTGTTGCAGAGTAAACTCTTCCTTTTGTTGGCAGACAGATATTTCCCCAATACCTCAAGTAACATGTTGGGTAATACCAACCGGACTTCCTGAATCCGTGTCGAGACTCTGAAACCCACTAGGGCTAGTGAGATGTCCAAGACAAGTGAAGGGATCGACTTGCTCAATTACTCGATTCTTTACCAGTAGTTAGTGCTTCGAAGTAGCCCATTCTTGGAGAAGCATTTTGTATTCAAACAGAAACATACACGTCCCAGAAGTGCTTGTATTGTTGCTCAAGGCGACCAAAAGACCTTGCGTCTCGTCAATGTCTTCGCCGAATAGGACTCTCATCTGCCTGTTCTTAGTAGACAAACGAATTTCTTGGTAGATTTGTTTATGTGAAGCCATATAATTAGGGGATTGTATGTAGAATATCTACGACAAAATTAAATAAACGGAGTGGAGAGCCACGACGAACACCACTTAAGATTGACAGTTCTGATAACAGTTCACCATAAGTTCTAACCCGACTAGTGTCCAGGTAGAGCCTGCACGAGGTTAATGTACTCCCTCGGTACACTTTTCAGTCCCAGAGACTACCATAAAATCTGTCTATCTACGAAATGTAACGTTGCTTTGAGGACAGAAATACTGAGAGTTGGTGGATATGGCTGGGTTTCAGAACCTCACGAAGGGAAAATATCTGATCTACACATCGACTTCCATGTCTGGAACTAGCCTAGGTTTTTGGGTTTGGTTTTCACGAGCTCTATTTAAGTCTAATGATTATCAAGATTAATAATTTAGAAACGACTAATCAAACTGATTCCATTACGTCTGTCACAAGAGGATTTCTGTCATCCCTTAATGAAATTATCAGCGATCGAGATCAATCAGATTGATTTACGTCCAGTTCCCGAATAATAGCTAATATCTCAATCTAACCGTCAACATTCAGCCACTATTCTTAAACATCTCCAGGATTATTTCATCTGAGTCTTAACTATCATAATTACTGCATCCGATCTGATGGTTAATTTAGATGTGGGTTGTATGTTACATCTGAAAACATATTCTGAAATATTTGTGCTATCTGACTGAAGATAAACTACATTTGTGTAGAGATGTCGCTAATTGGACAGCCTCGGACCTTAGCTGCTACCTTGACGCGGTGGTCGGGCTTGCCTATCGTGATGACCCAACTGAGCTATATTGGCTGGGACATATGTTCCTGTAGGTTCTACCATGCCAGGCAGGTCGGTTGGAGAACTGTAAGACTAAAAGCAGCAACTTAAGGGCGAAGTCGTACTGCTGACTGTAGAAGGGTGTGACAGCAGTAAGGTGTTTCCCTCGGACAACCAGCATCTGCAGCTATGCTGCCTTCTCACAAGGAAGGGGCTAGAAAAGGTCCACCCTAAAAGTGTCACACCTCAGCTTACCTCACGGATTTCCGTCTTTGGCGGTAAGGCTCTTTGAAGAACGGAGCTAACACGTCGCAAACCTCCCAAAAAAAGCCGTGCGCAACTGGCCTCAACCAGTTGTCCCTTGGGCTCTGCAGTCACGCTGCCAGGTCGTTAAGGCCAACATTAATCCAACTTTCTTTTCAGGTTCCTCAAGAAATACCCTTCCACGGTGTGGGCAGCCGGGAAGTTACATCAGCCCTCATACCCGTAACAGCATATGAGACCAAGTTGGTCACATCCAAATCCTTCCTACACCTCCTAATACCTTTTTTATCTCCACGACTAACCCTTCTTGCCTCTCTTTATCACCTCGCACCGCTAGGGCAAACGATTCGAGTACGTGGAACGTTATTCCTGGTCTCCTGAAACCACGCTCCAAACTACACGGAGCTTTTAACGTCCGAACACTGTGCCAAATAGGACAACAGGCTTCCTTAGTGAGGACTTTAGAATCTCGCGTCATTCATTTGACCTCACCATATCAAAACAAAGAACCATTTCGATTCACGCTTCGTGTATCTGGAAGCCCTGATTCTGCTTCCCGTGGATTCGCCGGCGTAGATATAGCATTGAGTCCTAGGGCAGAACTAGCTCTCTTAGAGTGGATCCCAGTAGACAGTCGTTTGTGCGCTGTCCGACTGAACGGAACAATAAGGACTCGGAAAGATAGAGACACTCGTCGCTGCCTCTTCGTCGTCTCTGCCTATTCTCCCACTGACTGCAGCTCAGATGATGTAAAAGATGAGTTTTACAGAAAGCTCTCCGACCGTCTCCGAAAAGCTAGGCGCTCGGATGTAGTAATAATGGCCGGTGACTTTAGTGTTCAAGTAGGTAAACTAAGCGAGAGGGAAAGACACATGGGTGGATCTTATGGTATCATGACTCAAAGAACAGATAATGGCGACCACCTGTTGCAGCTATACTCAGATAACCGCCTGTTTCTTGCAAACACTAACTTTGAACATAAGGAAAAACATATTTTGACATGACGACCCCCGAATTCGTCCCAACGTTGGACCCAAATAGACCACATCGCTATCAGCTATCGATGGAGGGGCTCGATAGAAGACTGTCGCTCATTCTGAAGCACATACTTAGACTCAGTTCATGCTCCTGTGCGAGCGCATATTTGTCTACGTCTTACTGGACGTGGGAAAGATGATGCAAGAAAACCCCTTAGGGTCCTACTTGATGATAGTCATGCCCAGAGTATATTTGAGGAACAACTAGAAAAAGTTGGGCAGCCATGTAAGCGATGCCCACCTCGAGGTAGCGTGGAATGACATCCGAAAAGCTGTGGTAACAACAGTGATGTCTGCAAGTACGGTAAACCATAAGGTTATGGGGAAACACAGGATCTCAGCAGCATCTATCGCACTGATAGATGCTCGAAAACTCATTCCATCTGGCTATGAACATAACGAAGGGCGGAGTCAGATTAAGCGCAAGCTGATAAGAAGCCTACGCAGTGATCGCAAACAGTGGTGGGTAGCGAAAACAAGAGAGATGGAAAAGGCAGCGGCAATAGGTAATTGCAGACAATTGTTCAGACTCGTTAGGGAAACTGGTATAAGGAACCCGACTGTTAGAGAAACAGTCTCAGAGAAAGATGGACATATTATACATTCTCAATCCAGGAGATTAGATCAATGGGCAGAACACTTTAGGGAT